AAAAAAAAAAAAAAAAAACGGAGAAAATTCACGTGTCTCCTCGACGTGGGATACGTCGCGAGACGTACGCGAGAATTTTTTTCTGAGACTCAGTCAGTCAGGACAGACAGACAGACAGATAGGAACTTGGAAGACGCGAAAAGATAGAGAAAAAGCGAGAAACTAGCGAGTTTATGGTCGAGATTTATAATACTGTGTGCGAGATCTATCGGGGAAAGGTTTATGTGTCGATAGTGTGTGTACGTCGTAAAAACGTGAAAGTGTGCTGCGAATTCGAATAGTCGAAAAGTCTGTTCGACGAAAAGGGAGAAAGAGAGTAATTGCTCGTATCAATTCTCTCCCCGCGTAGTGTGTGTTTCGCAGAGTCGACAGCAGGTTGTGAGATTTAACGACGTAATTGCAAAGCGCGAAGTGTGGGATATTAACTACAATATATATATATATATATGTAGGTATATATATTGTACACATGAGTCAATTCCAACGAGCATTTTCATGCCATTTAAGCTTAAAGAGTTATTAGTTATTAAAATGAGAAAGCGCGGAAGAAACGATAAGGTGTGCGCGGGAGGGTAGGAGCGGAGGCGGAGAAAGAAAGGAGGAAGAAAAAAAAACAACAAATTCGTACACTCTTTTAATCATTGTTAATTAATTAAAAGTAATCACGATCCTATCGAAGTACTTAAAAGAAGTAAAAAAAATTAATAATAATATAATTATTATATACACAAAACTATTATATATTCATATTTTTGCTTATTACATACTTAAGAATCTAATTAAACGAGAGCTAGCGATTATAAATGTAGCGGGCATGGGAGCGCTGACGGCGATGAAGAACAAAAAAAGTCTCAAGTTGAGAGATATTTCTAGTCAGTCGGGCTTGCGCGACGTGTACGTTGGGCATTTTTTCAATTTCAAGACAAATTTGGAGACAAAAAATAAAATAAAACTAATTTGACATAATAACGGCGCTCGCGCGGTGAACGTAAAAACACACTTGGCACTGTCGTTTTTCCAGGATTTTTCAGCGAGACAAGTTGAATACAGTATTTTTTATCCACAGGAAAAGCGAACAGATGTTGACCGACATCGTGCGGGATATTCGATGTCTCGCCGTTTGTTTCACACATTCGTGTAATTAAACCACGTGCACGAAGAGCGAGCTGGGCAAAGATGCTCATTGGGCCGAGAGAGCTGAGATAGAGAAANAAAAAAAACAACAAATTCGTACACTCTTTTAATCATTGTTAATTAATTAAAAGTAATCACGATCCTATCGAAGTACTTAAAAGAAGTAAAAAAAATTAATAATAATATAATTATTATATACACAAAACTATTATATATATATATATATTCATATTTTTGCTTATTACATACTTAAGAATCTAATTAAACGAGAGCTAGTGATTATAAATGTAGCGGGCATGGGAGCGCTGACGGCGATGAAGAACAAAAAAAGTCTCAAGTTAAGAGATATTTCTAGTCAGTCGGGCTTGCGTGACGTGTACGTTGGGCATTTTTTCAATTTCAAGACAAATTTGGAGACAAAAAATAAAATAAAACTAATTTGACATAATAACGGCGCTCGCGCAGTGAACGTAAAAACACACTTGGCACTGTCGTTTTTCCAGAATTTTTCAACAAGACAAGTTGAATACAGTATTTTTTATCCACAGGGAAAGCGAACAGATGTTGACCGACATCGTGCGGGATATTCGATGTCTCGCCGTTTGTTTCACACATTCGTGTAATTAAACCACGTGCACGAAGAGCGAGCTGGGCAAAGATGCTCATTGGGCCGAGAGAGCTGAGATAGAGAAAGAATGAAGATCAAGGCCGATGAGGAAAAAAAAACTAATCTTAATTAAAAAGACATCTCGCTAGGGTAGGCGCTTCGAAGAATACATAAACTTTAAAAGTCATTTAATACAAATTATTCTCAAAATAATAAAGAAGTTTAATAAGTATAAAGAAGAATAAAAAAAAAAAACATTTTTAAATTCTACGTAAGAAAGCCAAGAGTCAAAAAACGACTAGATGATAGGAGCCGCATGGCCTAATTGCTGCCACTTTAATTAATTGAATAATTAATTATAACTTTATTACTCTTAATTAATCTCGATACAACAGATGAGAAATAATATATATATAAAGAAACCCTTAATACACACTATATTTCATGCCACTTTTCAAACTACTCTCTAGATGCAAGAGGGACGGAATCAGTAGATATATTAATAGCGAAATATTAAGCAAGATTATGATACAGCTAAAATTGAAAAAGAAAAACCAAAACTTCTCTCTTCAAAAAGTCGAGAACGAACGATGAGATTTTGCGCTATAGATTCGAAGTATTTTCAATTTGTCCAGTTTCTGGAATCGTGTGCGGAGACTAACGCGCGAGATTCGCGCCGAGAGGTGGTTTTCGTTGTTCCCACCGACGAATGTATCGCGTTACGTCCCGACCGCGAAAACGTCGCGTTTCGAGAATCGCATCCCCGGCATATCACACACGGGGACATGAGAGGCGGGAGTTCGACGCTTGCCGCGAATCGGAAGTGCGCTTCAACGTGTCGCNACACACTATATTTCATGCCACTTTTCAAACTACTCTCTAGATGCAAGAGGGACGGAATCAGTAGATATATTAATAGCGAAATATTAAGCAAGATTATGATACAGCTAAAATTGAAAAAGAAAAACCAAAACTTCTCTCTTCAAAAAATCGAGAACGAACGATGAGATTTTGCGCTATAGATTCGAAGTATTTCCAATTTGTCCAGTTTCCGGAATCGTGTGCGGAGACTAACGCGCGAGATTCGCGCCGAGAGGTGGTTTTCGTTGTTCCCACCGACGAATGTATCGCGTTACGTCCCGACCGCGAAAACGTCGCGTTTCGAGAATCGCATCCCCGGCATATCACACACGGGGACATGAGAGGCGGGAGTTCGACGCTTGCCGCGAATCGGAAGTGCGCTTCAACGTGTCGCNAAACACATCGCGAAACATCGTTTCGAACCGCGCACGATCGGCCGGACCGGAAACGATCTTCGCGGCCGGGGATTCGCGCATCCTCGCCGATATATATATATACATATATACATATATATGTCTCGCAGAAATCTCTTTCCGTATATTTTTTACACAAAAAGAAAAAACGACAATTCGGGCACGGCGTCATCCGGAGCTTATCGCGCGCGCGCGCTTGTCTCTCAACGCGNTACGGCGGGACGTAACGGGACTCGCAATCGCGCGAACACACGCGTTGTCGTGATGTCGAAAGCGTCGAAACCGATCGGATCGGTGCCTATCACGTTTGCACAAACACGAAATCATAAGATACACATGGAATCACAAAGATTATATAGAAATATACACAATATCACATATATGAAACATACAGAGAAATTATTAACACAATTATTCGAATTATTAAAATATGCCGAGTTACAAAGAGAAAAAGAGAGAGAGAAAGAGAGGAGGAGGAGAGAGGAGGAGATATGTACAAGAGATACATCATACAGAACTCGCAAACATACACACACCTACACACATTGTTCCTTCGTCGCGACGTTCACTTTGTACCTGCTTGCTGCCTGCCTGGTCCGTGCTACATAAAGACGCAACTCCTAGTCTCGCGTGGCGGCGTTTTACACGAGAAACACATATACACAATATATACACATATACATTTACACACGCGCGCACCCAATCTTTTNGCTCGATCGATCGAGGATTGATAACGTCCAAGCATGTCGCATGTTCTTTTGTTGTGATAACCTGGCACATTACGAAAATTTATTATTATTTTCCCGCTTCGCGAAGAAAGCCGAAGAAAACCAAGCTGATTTGCTGATGCGATTGTTCAGTCTTGTCGCTGGTTTTTATATCGTGATATAAAATAGAAGAGAGAGTTTAACGGAACGTTGACGACGGTTTCGACGTGTATGTTTCGACATCTCAAACTCTTGACGCTTCCGCGTTCCAAAATTTTCAATCGCGATCGCGCGAACGGGAACTCGAATTCTTCCTCATGGAATCGTTTCCTCGCGGCTAGTTCTCGCGAGGAAATCGATGAGTACATCAGATCGATCGCCGGGAAGCTTTGGAACGAGGATGACGTATAGATATGGCACGTATACGTGTGCTAGATTAGTAAAAACGAATAAAACGCGGTAAAGGCTCCACATCTCTTGTAATATTTTT